TCTGGATGTCTATAAATTCATTTCAGATGTCCATATTTCTTATATTACTGGTCAGCATTTGTATTATTTTTTAACTATAAAAAACTTTTTTCAGATATCATAAATACATTTTTAGTCAAATTGATAAATGTTAGAATGGCCACTTAAAATGTGTAAACATTTCTAGACCTATAAACCTAAATTCTTTGTAGTATAGCTTTTTTTTTGTTTGTTTCTAAAATTCAGTTTTTGCTACAAAATGTAATTTAGAAAATCTATTATTACATCAGAATTTCACAATTTAAAAATAATTTCCATGTAGCAGATTTATTTTCACAATTACAATTTTGCACAATTCGATGATTAATGGAAATTAAGCTACTGAACAGTATAATAGTATAGTATAACAGTAAATAAGTTGTTCGTCTGAACTATTTTTAAAGAGCCTGCAGACTGCTTGGAAAAGAGCAGCTTTAATGGTAGAAACACAAAACACACTACATCAACTCTGGCTTAATTGTTTCACCAATGTAGGACAGTGTTTGCCTCAAGGAGGGTGAAGATTTCTTTTTGAAGGACGGTCAGCGGATTATATTCCCATGACGAGAAACTGATTCACTTTATCTGTCTTGTTAAACTACACTGAAGGTACCCTTAGGGAACGTTGGCTGTTTTAGAAGCTGGACTCTTATAATAGTTGTCATATGAATGAAAACAAGAGCCAAGGTTGTACAGAGAAACAACAGAAGCTAAGCAAATCCTTCCCACTGAGAAAGGTTAATAAAATGGTAGGTCATCAACCTTTCTGACGTTTCAGCCGAGAAGCAAAATCCAAAGAAGTACTAGGTTAGTGTATTGGTTATTTTGAAATGTCACCTTAAAGTATTGTATGAGGATAAAAGGAGGTCAGAATGCAAAATACTGAGCAAGATCAAGCTAAAATTCAAGAATTAATCATTTTTTGACATGCATAAAAATTTAAAGGGGAAAGTTGATACCTTGCAAGGTTGGCTAACCGGGGGGCAGCAATAGACAATCGTTTTTGACATCATTTTCAAATTGACATTTTTGACACTGGATTACCATCCAGTGCAGCTGGGTTTGTAAATTTTTAAGGCCAGAGATACAAGAAAATCCATCTTGCAGTGTTCTAATCTTTCACAGATGCATGTGGCATCTTTGGTGCACAGAGATTCAAGACACCTCATCACTAGCCAGCTGCATAAAATTGACTATTTATCTACATTCTTTAAAAGTTCCCAAGTGATTTGTAAGAGCCTCTCTTGGAGCATTAGCATTTGACAGGTGCTATTACACACAAGAACGTCTTGTATGTTGATTGAAGGAAGATGAAGAAGCTCTGGAAACATGCAAAAAGATTTAGCAGGTGTCATATTTGATACTTTGTGCCTTGCAACTGAATTTTTCGTTTCAATGTTTTTATATTCAAATCCTACTAATGTGTAATAGTTGTGGTTTGCTGCATCAAGATGAAGTTTATGATTTTATTTTTTTTCTTTAAATTTGCTTAATTTTTAGGAAGTGGCAGTTAATTCTAGGCATATAGAACACAGCCCCTTTTCCACCCCTTACTGTTAACTTTTAGTTAGCTGAATGAATTATTAAAATTTAATTTGCTTGCCAAACAAAAACTGAATGTTTAGAAATATCTCCAGTCACAAAAAAAGATAGCACAACTAATTTTCGAAGGTACATAAAGTTGTTTTTCAAAGAGGCTTGTCTTCATAAAATTATAAACTTTAGTCTCTCTAAAACAAATTTTTACTTGCTTACTGGCATTACAGTATGAGCTTGTTATAATTATTTACCTATATAAAGTTGAGAACAGCTATAATGGATGTTTTTTGCACCAAAAAAAAATATATATATATTTATAAATGTAGCAGATGTTTAGCTCTTTGTGTGTATTTACTGAAGGACATCATGTGATGTGAATATCATATCAGCCCACGCCCATGGGGGATGTTTTAATTAAAAATTTAAAAAAGCATCAACTTAGGTCCAAAACTGCTAACTATAGTTTTTCCATCCCATTAGCTGCAGATTACATTGCAATAGTGTCTGCATTATTTGTAGATGGCCTATTGTCTTATCCTTGTTCAGTCCTTACTAAAAGAAAGCGTTCTGCAGGATCACAACACTGAGTGAATGACGCACTAAGCTTGTTGGACTGAACTCTTGGCCTATAAAGAGTCTCTCCTTGAAACCAGGAAGAGAACTTGATTGTAAAGAGGAAGTTAACGTGATTAACACGATGACTTCCTCTTGTGCAGGAAATTCCCAAACTTGAGTGAACTCTATATTTTTAGATCCACAAATGTAGACTTTAAGTTTCTCAGATCACTAAGATTAAATGTTGTGCAAATTAGTACATAATGTCAACTGTATCCAGTGTCTAAGTGTGTTTTATTTCTGGGAAAATTACACTGGGCAAATTGATCTTTACTTGAATAACTCAATGTCTATACTTCAAAAATTTGGATGGTCTAGATTCACACAAAATGATTTCCATATGCACAGGAAGATGACATTTTCTGTTGAAAATGACACCTCATGTCTTAGTGGTTCTCACCTATGTAAGTAAAGATTGCTATATCTACTCCAGGGAAATGATTGGTTTCTGGTCTGAATTTGTATTGATTTATAGAAAAAATTGTGTATTTGAGTAATATTTTATCTGTTTCATGTAGATATGGATTGTTTAGAGTTATAATAGATTAAAACATCAACAAAGAAGTGGACGAATGAGTAATGGAAGGGTGGGCAATTGATGAATGATAAATGTATTGAACAAGGTTAATTGATATATTGAAGATGGATATATAAAATGTAAAAATTGAGCTGTCTTTTACTGTTTTATTGATGTGGTTTTATCGATGTGATTGGGGTGTGTGGAACTCAATTTTGGAAGAAAAGGATTTAGCTCATAGGTGGGCTGATGGAAACAAAATAAGTTGACATAGATTTAAAATATTTTATTCAGGAGAAAAAAGAATATAATTACAATATTTATACTTTCTATATTCTTTAAGACCTGATGAAACAAATGAATTAGAAATATTGTGCCTTTTTTTTAGACTACAACATATGTCTTGATTTTTGCAATCAGTCCCCAATGATCTCAAAGGCAAATATGAAACAATAAACCTTAAAGTGAAACATATCTTTATTTTCTCTTGTATTTATCACAGAAACCTGTGTTGCACTTATATCCAAATTTCCACAAGTGCTCACAGAGGCTCAACATAAAACATTTTTTTCAAAAGAACAAATGTACACATTAATTAAAGCACTATATTTGCATTACATACTGAGAGATACAATGTAGCCAACAAATTACTAGGGACATATCCCTAAAAACACAGTTCTTCATATAGTTAATGGTGAATTTTATTTAACAAATCCTAATTTATTAAGAAACTTTAATGTTGTAGGATGAACTCTTAATTTTCCATTGGCATTATTACTTAATAATTTAATCTAATTAATCATTGCAGACATTTCCAAACTCAGAGAGCAGTCTGTTCTTTTTGTAAGGATTTCAATAAAACAAATATATATATTTTTATTTTTATACCCTGAAGTTGAAAAGAGCGGGTCCCAAATGCAGGACTGACATAAAATGTCACACTTTTGTTGGAAAGTAACACAAAAATACACCAAAGTGTTCAGCCTAACACATTTCATCATTTTATGGGGATACAATTGTTAGACAAGCCTTTTATTACACACACAAAGAACCACAAAACAAAATGAACACATTAGGTCAGAAACATCTCCCGAGTATGAATAAATGTAAATTGCACAAAAAAAAAAATTTTAGGCTACAAAACCATGAATAAAGTGTAGACAATGTGCAAAAAACCATCTGTATTCAGAATTTAGCAATTACTATTTTCAGTCTTACTCAATGTCCTATCACACTTTTAAAAAATATGTCTGCATTTATTATAGAATTAAATATATCTGAAATGACACAAATGGCTACTTTGGTTCCTGGTTGTTAAATGAACAGGAAAAAGATAAACAGGGTTTGTCAGGAAGAACAGATGTACATATTATACATATTCTGCATTTACAATGACCAAGATGTGTGAAAATGTAAATATACATGTAAAAATGTTGTGTAGGAAATGAACATTTCAAAGTGCTATTTCTGTTGAGATGATCTAAATATATATATATATATATATATATATATATATATATATATAAAGGAAATTAAATTGTGGCTGTTTTTCCTTTTGCAATAGTTCAAATATCTCTTAAAACACCAAGAATATCTAATCCAACCCCCATTTTCAGTTCAAGAGTTCCAAACAGACTAATTTTAGTAGATCATTGAAACAATCCAATGGCATGCTCAGGTTTTCACACCCCTGAACCTTTCATGTCCAAGTACAACTTCAATGTATTCTATTTGGATCGTACATGATTAGCTGATATATAATGGTGCACGATTTAAATGTAGAATGAAGAAGGTACAGTTTTTAAATTCTTTATACGAATGTGAATCCGAGAAATGTGGCAGATTTTTGTATCGCCCCCTTTAGACTGATGGGCTTCAATTACAGCAAACGCCACCCATTGATGTAAGAAGATTTCTGATCATGGAGCCAATGAAAACAATTTAAACTGGAACACTAAATCTTGATTCAAGAACGTCCTTGCTTTCCAGTTGAACTTGAAAATGTCTTCAACTTGGATCTATCTGCTTACATAGAACAGCTGTATTCTGTCAGGGTCTTACAGTCTAAGACATAAAATTCTTTATGTATGTCAGTAAGAATATTGAATTGCTGCTTTTGTCCATGTGAGTCTCCATGTTGAAATTAGTAATCAACCTGTGGGTTTTAGGTGAAGGCATCAAAAGTTTGCTAGGAAACCGTTGTCAACCAATGGCATCATGCGGACCATGAAATGACAGCTGTCCACTCCACAATTAGAAATTGTTTAAAGGAACCCATGTGAACTGTTGTTCGCAGTTTGTCAAACATAGTTATAGAAACACATATTCCCAACCATGGTTGGGAGTGTTAGCCTAGTGGATAGAGCAGTGTGCTTGTGCACTGAGAAGGTTGCAAGAACCTGGTTTGATCCCCACAGCCTCCACTCTGGGTTCTTGAGCAAGACCCTTAACCCCACACTGCTCACTGGGTGCCCCACAATGGCAGCGCACTGCTCCCCTGCAGTGTGCAAACATAGCTTATGACCAACCGGAAAGCTGGTCAGACTGGATATTAAGGTGGTTAGATCTACATACAGCACAATGTCCCAAGAAAAATTTGTGCATTAAGAAGTTTGTCTTTTGCATTAAATTTAATGAGAATATGTTGTTAAGTGACAGAAAAAGGTCAAGGAGCATGAATACCATTGCAAGTGTATGGCTGCTGCACTGGGTAACGGTATATGCTGGCCAGTTTAAGAGGCAAACCAGAATGTTAATCAACCGGAAAACAGTCTGTGATGGTCTGGATAACAGTGAGACAAAGATGCTAAGAACCATATCAAACCTAGAGTGTTCTACCTGTTCTGTTAAAGCATGCTTTCTAGTTTAAGTCAGAAAAGAGAGTTTGTATTTTCCTGCCTTTGGGTGTGTAGTAGTGCATGAGCAGAATTTAATGTGGCTAACTGTAGCAGAAAAGGGTGAGTTACAAGGGCGGTCTACCAAGACAGAATATTTTTTATAAATGTTGCCCAGTGCAGCTTAAAGGTAGTGGCTTTTTGAGTGTTTGTTTTTGTTTTGCAGACTTCAGTTGCTTGATTCTAGTCCCTCTAGATGGTCAGGGATAGGTAGACCTGTGAGTATCGTCAGACACTTATTCCATACATTAAACACAGGACACACTGGCTGGACAAAAGACACATGAAAGGTATGTAGGTGCTGAGAGCCGACGGCATCATAGAAAGAAATGTATCCGGCGTCGTAATCCAACAGGATCCCTACCCGTCGGAGGTGGGGGGAGGGTTCTATGGCCAGCTCCTTGCTGTTGTGGCGAACCACCCATGAGTTGTTACAGCGGCAGAGCACCCAAGAGGCAGAATTCTTGCCGATCCACTCGTGCTTGGGGGCTGACTTGTATGCAATACCTATAGCGTACCTGTTTAGCAGAAATAAGTTTGTACTTGGCAAAAGTCTTTGTTAAAATGCTCAAGAAAGGAATAGTTCTCACCATGTGCTCCCTCCAATCAGAGCCTCCCAGTAATGACGTCCACTGTCAATGTAGACATTTCCCACCACGCCATAGCTGCTCTGGCTGGAGAACCGATCCTGGCTATGGCCCTTCTTGGATGTGGTTTCATCGCGTTCTACTGTGAGGTTATCATGGGAAACTTTGAGCTTCTTATGAGCAGATTTTGGATCCAGTTTGAACGGTTGGCCTGGTTAAGAAAAATGGAGATAGTTGAATACCATTTATGGAGAATTGGGCTTCATCTTTACAAAAAGTAAACTATTTTATTCTAGTCCAGTTCTCTTACTGTTTGTTTTCAGAGTCCCGGGTTCACTGCTCCTGCTTCCTGCTTGATTAATGGCTTTCACCACAAAGATATACTTAGTTCCGCTCTGCAAACCATGCACTGTGTAATGGTTCTGTTTAATGTTGGGAACAATCATCCAACTTTCCAATGAGTTGCATAGACCTGATAGAAGAGGGAAACAAAAAAGGCTTCTTGAAACTTACAACTGAAAGCATACTTTAAGCCCACTAAACAAAACCTCCAGCAGAAGATCAATGTTCAATGTGAAAACACAGTGCACTAAATTGAAAAAGATGAGTAAGGCCTTGGCTGTAGGGGCAGAGAAAAGGCACAAGAGGAAACAATTCACACCACATTCGCTTTAGACCAAGACAATCATTTCTGCAGTCAGTGTTTTTTTTTTTTTTCTTTTAATGGTACCTTCACAGTGCCTCTGAGGCCCACGTTTATTTCGGAGTATAAGTACAAATACATAATATTTGTTTTATGTTTTAACCTAAGAAACTGACTTGGTTGAGTTTTTTGTTGTAATTAAACATGCAAAAAGGTTGATTGATATGTGCATAAAAAAAACAAAAAAACATATGAAGTAACTTGTTGCATTAAATTCAGCGGGTCGTCAGATTCAAACCTAATTTTGATCTTAAGATGTTTTACTGTTCTCACCCTTTGTTAGATTAGTTTTACTATTACTTAAAGAAAAATATGTAGGTATTTACAGGCTAAACTGCACAACTTTAAAAGCAAATATTTTCTAGACATACGCATACAGGCAACTAAAAAGCTAAAAATAAGCAGAACAGAATAAACATTTTCAGATCTTTTACCAGCAAAGCTTCTGTTAATAGGTAAGAGTGGATTTCCATTTGGATACATGCACATGAAGTTATAGGTGATAATGTTTAAGAAAAACCTTACTCGGTTATTGACTCACAAATCAAGCTTTTAAAAAAGGTAAGCTAGTAGCAAGTAGTTTTATTTAACCAGCAGCACTGATACAACACCTTGTAACATTGGGAAAGTAATATATTTCTTTACAGTTTATATGTAAATGGAAAATTAAATGTAAGCATGAATGTTACAGAATGATAAATGTGGAAGTTTAGAAATTAGCCACCACTTTTTTGACTTCTCAGAATCGGTTCCAGTTTAAGTTGTCTAACAGTTTTCTACAGAAATTGAAAATGTTCCTTTTGTTGAACTACAGCAACAAAGATACAATACTTCAACTTCCTGCCATGTGATTTATCTCGGCAGCTCTGGGGAAAATGATCTGCCACTTAACTCCCAATTTTGACAGTTACACCTCTGTCATTAGCAATGTGATAAGAGAGAGAGCATGGAAGATCACAGCATCTTATTGAACAAAAAGAGACAGGGATGTGACAGCTGGAGGGAAATGAAGTGTCACATTAGTGTCATAAATGTCTCTTCTTAATAGTTTTTAAGTGTTGAAGTAATGAAAGTTGTAAAGGAAAATGGACAACCATATATAGGAATCCTTGATTAGATAAACGTCAAGCACATAAAAAAGGAAATGAAGGATAAAAGAAAGGAGATGAAAAACCAAAGGAAGGTAGACTTTTTGTGGGAAGTGTTTGAATCTTTAAAGAACACTTCAAAACTGGTTTAGATGAAAGACAGATGGGGCTGTTTGATTGAAAGGCAGCAGGGAATCTTGTCTTCTGGTGCTTTGACCCATTTTCCTTCATGTAGTTGTTGCTCAATCAGCAATGTCCAAGGTTCTTAAGGTGTGTATGTTTTGACTTGTCATTGTAAGCATATACTCCGACCTAACTGCTGCATTGGGCATTTAGTTGAAAGTGTGGGTCTGATATTAGATTTTCTGTCAGAAATCTAGAAACATATTCAGAGTTTATAGATTAACTCAGACTCATCGTGTGACAGCGTCAATCTGTCATGAGCTTGGCACTGATGACTGGCTTAATTATTTATTCTATTCACCTAACTCTGCCCACTTTCTAATAACTACTCATCTGATCCACTTGCTCCTGCCTCTATTTAAGGTGCTTGCATCCAGTCATCAGGCCACGTTATTCTTGTTCTCTCTAGCCAGTGGTAAGAGATTTTTTTGGAGTTCCTGTGTGTTTCTGATTTCCTAATCCTGACCTGTTCTGCCTCTCAACCACTGAGCCTGCCTCTTCCTGTCTTAACATTTTGCCTGAACTGTTTTTGGACTCCTGGACCTCTGAGCTTGCCTGTTCCTCTTCTGATCTATTTCCCTGACCTGGCTTCAACCCCGGAGAACATGCAAAACATGGCGGAGAGTTTCTTACCTCAGAAGCCCTAGCCACTGCAAATGCAGATCCACAACCCGGTTTTTAAATAAACACTTTTTGAGTTATCCCATTGTCTGTCTTGCCTTGAATACTGGGTCTCTCTGTTCTGAGACATTACACAGACATAAACTGTCTACACTTATTATGTTGCTCGGTGGCTTGGAATTAAGGTTAAAAACGTGCTTCCATTTAAGGAATGGGTCTTTTTTTTAATCATTTTTTTTCTTTTCCTTCACCAAATAGCCATCTAAACATCTTAATTGGAAATACAAAAGAATTTTAGGTTTTTCCCTAGATCTAGCAGTCAGTTGTACCCACTTATACCAAATTATTTTAACCTAAAAATGAAATCCCTAAATATATATTGAATGCTACTAAATTGAAATAAACAAACTATACTTAACTTACAATGTCTTTAACAGCAAAAGTGCAATTTATTTTCCTTTTTTTTTATCCAACACCAAGAATAATGGTCTCATTGTGTGCATAAGATATGACTTACATTTAATGTGCCTAGATTGTCCAGATGCACTTACTGGCAATGTTGGACTGTCCGGTGAAGATGGCATATTGGAGCTCGTAGGACACGACCGTGAATTCATCATCAGACGTCCAGTGGACACTGATAGTGTCGTATGAAGCTGTGCACAGCTCTTCCCTTATGCACGGAGCACTTGGAGCTGTGGAGAACCAAACCAGAATCATTATCTTTGCCCCCAGATCCGGCATATTACATTAGGGAAATCCCAAGCTAGTTATTCACTAGTTTTAAGTAGCTCCAATGAAATCTATCTAATAAACCTTCTGAATATGCACAAAAATCTAATTTAAGACTTTATTGATTTTTTTATACTTATCCAGGAAAACAAGAGTTATAGATTGAACAGTGATTGCAATGGAAATAAATAACCAAATCACATTATCACGGCAGGAAGAGAACATGGCACAACCTCATTAGATGTTCAAAATCTGAGTCACTGCATAATCACATAAACCGCTAGCTCTGTTTCGTTGATGTATTGATTTGTGGGGAAACAGATGTGTTTTGACAATTCAGTTGAAAATGGCTCCTTTTGTGTCAAGCCTACTGAGCTTCTTGCAGGAGGAGAACAGAGTGAGGTTGAAAAAACAAACAGATGCAAAGGCCCGGCTTGAAATTATTGTAAAGCCACTTCTTATCTCTTTTTGTGCCTGTCACTTGCTCCCACTTCCAAGCTTTCTGTCATGAGTGGCTGCACATAGCGGAGTGATTCAGGCTGATTCACTGAGTGAAATACCCTCCAGTGAAACCCTCATGCGTCGCAGAGAATAAATATGAGCCAACCATTTTCACAGGCCTTCAGAACCACAACAAATGCCCATCCCTATTTTTTATTTCTTTGCCTGGTGTGCTCATCCTTTACCAGTGACATTTTGATAAGCCCAACCAAGTGAATGAGGAACAATAAATATTTTATAATAATTGAGGAGCTTTTAGGTTAAATTGAATACAGACTTGACGGGAGTAAAACAAAGAAGCTTGAAATTGATGCAGAAATTGAAAGTTTTGGGTTCACAAAGTGGGGTAAATAAAATCCAGAAATTATGTTAAACCACCCTTATATTTCTTAATACACTCTTTTTGGCGTTAAGCAAGGTAGATTGTCGCTAACCTGTGAGGTAATCCAGATTTTCCAGCAACTTCTTCTCTCTAGTAAAGTCGAGGGCAAACGTGTCAAACGTGTCTGTCAGATGGATCTCGGGAATCAGCACCTGGGTTGATGCTGTTGCCATGGAAACCCTAGGTTTACAAAGGAAAAAAAATTATTAACTTTTTTTTGTTCCGTTTAAATAAAAATTGCCAAAATTGAAAGCTTAGACCAATTGTTGCAAGTAAGAATAAGAAATAGAAATAAGTATACATTTCTTAAATTAAGTGAATTTAGTGCTAATTGGAGCAGTTAAAATAGAATATAGTTTTTGTACTCTTAAAATACGATAATTAGATAATATGAAACTGAAATAAGACAATGCAATTGTTTTTTTGTTTTTTTTTAAATGCAATTTGTCTTGTTCCATTGGAAAACTGTCTCAATTATCTCCTCTATTTAAGAAGAAATGCATTTATTTTAAGAAGAAATTAATTAGTGAGATTTCAATGTTTCAATGTGTATGAATCTAAATGAAAGTGATGAATCTTCCACACAAGTCCAATTTGTTAAAAAAAATGCCTAGTAAACTTTTTCATGTTGGACAGGTTAAAATAGTTCTTAGCTTTTGATTTGTATGATGAATACTTTGAAGTTGGATTTGGACTTGAACTGAAATCTAACTCAAAGGAAGATAATCCATATAGAGTAAGTCCAATGAGGTGATATGACTTCCCCTTTTATGACAAGGATGGAGACAAAAGAAGGTGAACATCATTTGACACTGACTCTCAATAGACCAGGAATTTTCTTGTGTGAAACAAAGTCTGTGATGTCAGTTTGCACATGAAGTAGCAGTCCAGGAAAAATCTCAGCTGAGGACGATCCAGCTTTGTAAAAAGATCTAAAGGATACTTTCTTCTGATATCATTCAACCCCATTTTTTCCTGGGGGGAAACCAATACTTGACACACATAGATCTGCTCTCCTGTGCCAAATCAATTATTCAAATGCAGCAACAGAGTGTAAAATACGATTAGTCTCAATCCAACAAAAAAAAAAAATATACACTTGTCTCTTGAGAAAGTTTTTAAACTGCCTCGCTGCGTATGTGTTGTAAATGAGCAAGTTATTTAGAAGGAAATTTGTGTGGGCTGCTTGACCTTTCATTGATGCTTTTGGCAGTCTGTAGGAAGCGTGCGTGGTCCGTTTCTTTCAGGGTTTGATCGGCTTGTGTGATGAGCGCTGAGGACCTCTCGATGCACTGCTTACAGTTGGAAATCTGTTGGGCCAGCTTCCGTAGCCTTTGTGCCTGTACACACCAGAGAGATTGACAAGTAGATGGACCTTTTCAGGATAGATTTTTCAGGGAAAAATACATGAAAATGGATGCTGAAAGGAGACAGAAGAAATGGCCTTGGCAAAATGGAGAGGTTGTGGATCAATTAAAACCTGCTTGGAGTTTATATGATTACAATGAGATTAATTTTAAAATTTGCAACAACAAAAAAAAAAAACGTAAAAACTTTGAAGTTTTTCTCGATCATTCCATTTCATTTATATATATAAATATTAAAGTTGGATAAAAGATTTTTTAAAACAAGGCTTAATTATTGGCTGAGTTGGAGTAGACTGCTGTTAATCTTCTCGTTTCCAGCTAGATGAGAGCATGTTTGCTTACTCTGCCAGAGAAAACTTAGCAAAAGTGTCCTGTTGTGAAGATGTGTTGCCCACTAGCTATGATGAGTGAAGGCAACTCAGCCACAGTAAGTTGTGCAAATACTTTTGAAGGATGAAGAGGCTTATTTTGGCCTGTTGAGATAATTTCAACATGCCAGAATAACCATTAATAACCAGACCATTTCAACATTGGTATGGAAGTAAATGCAGGCTATACGCTAAGCCGAAATAGATCCGCACCATACTTCTAGGTTTAGAAGAAGAGAAACTGGACTAAGACATCCACTGCCCTTGTCAGGCAAGTTAATGTGCTTATTTTTTTAAATTCAACACATTGATTGAGTGAGTGATTTGATTGTTTTTTAGATTTGATGTTATGTCCATCCTGAGTGTGAAATTACAATAGTTTGAGTAAATTTTAGATCCAATTTCTTGCTTATGTAACCCACAATTAGTCAGAGACTTTTATTTTTTCAGGCCCACTTCCTGTGTTGCCCAAAATAGTAAGCTTCTTCAAAGCCCCGCCTTAAGCATGCAGTTAAGGATCGTCACCTGTTTCCACTGTGATTGTGGCTTGCTGCTGGGTGTCTTCTCCATGTGTTCATCTGAAACCTTTAACCCCATTGATTTGATTGCTGGGTGAGTTTATTTGATGCAATATTATATTTCCTTGTGGTATTTTTGCTCGAATTGCTCTTTAGAGCGTTGTTTTATTAAAAATCATTGACATTGTTTACCTGGACCATCGCTGGGATTCTGCCAGAGCTGATTGTGACTAAGAACACCCCACTCTCTTTGAAAAGGTAACTTGCTTGCTGAATTTTGTGCATGTTTGACAAGTTTACCTTGATTCCGAAGCAGTATTTAAAAGATTGATCTGAACAGTGTAGCTACACTTAAGTTGATATTGTGCAGTATGTATATTAAATTTTACTTTCGCTCCTCCTGCTTGAGTATTTGACAATTTGTTTTATTTTTTGATATTTTTGAAAGTGCATTTTACCTTTTACTTTAAATTAAGCTTGAAATGGGATACTTTTTGTTTTACTTTATTTGAATTATGGTTAATTTAACCTGATTGAAATGTTTATTAGAAATATTTAATTCATTTGCATTTAGTATGCATAAATAAAATGCTTGAATATAATTTTTTGCTTTATATTATATTTGCATTTAGTTGTTTTTGATAAAACTTAATGGATTTTTCTGACCTTTTTAGGTCGGGTTTTTTTTTTTTTTCCCCCTTTTACAGTAGATCGAATCCTCATCTGGACCTGAAGATGGCGAGCTAGCAATGGACTATGGACTTTATGATTTTGAAATTCATTTGTTTTGAGCCATCCTCTTGTGTCTCATCGTGTTGCTGTAATTTTCTGTTTAATTCAATCACCTAATATACATCTACCAAACCTAAAAGCACTGCGTCTTGTTTATTTTTTCACACCTCAGGCTCCTTAAAAGGACACTCTTCTGATGCTATTTGTAGCTGCAGTTAGCTGCCTAGCCCATAAGTGTTACACTTATTGCTTTTTATTTTCTGTAATACTTAATTCGGAGCTTTCTAATTTGATTCTTGGATTCTGTTCCCTCTTGGAAATACATTAGTATAGATTTGGATATCTATATGATGCGTCAGATTTCTTGTAACCGCTTGATGGTTTAGGGTTAAAAGTGCATGGTTCATGGCATTTTTTTTTATCAGTTCAATTTAAGCAAAATTAGTGCATAAAAGCTGCCACTATGTTTTTTCTGCTGGTATGTGCTTCTTTCAATGATAAGCTGTATAATAATCTGTCTTTATTGGATTGCAACGCATTATTGCACATGGTTTTAAGCTCTTTTCAGAGAAACAGAATTTTTAGAAACTATTTGGAAAAACATTGCTATTCAATCTTTTAATTTTTTAAACTTAACTTTGAGGTTTCTGGAAATTTTCAAATGTCTTTTAATCTGTCAGTGAATTTCCTTTTCTCTTTGCACATAATTATGGGATTTCAGCTCTTGTAGTCTGCCACCCAGTTTCATTCCCTCGGCTTTTATAAGAGGCAGATTTAGGTCACTGGTTTTATTGAGGTCAATTGCCATTTCATCAGCAGTTTGGCTTGTAACAAAACTGTACACAACAGAAGTTGTATCCCAGGAATGATTGCAGATGACTTCTGGGTCTAGTTTGTGAAAAAATGCCAGGTTTTAAAGTCCAGTCCTTCTGATGCAGAGCTAAATGTTATGCATCCACATTAGATGGTAGAGAGAAAAAAATTCGGAGTCACTCCAAGACTCGTTACATGGAGCTTAAAATATCATCTCGGTTGAGAGTACAAGCAAACATCTCCTCCATATGCTGTGGGAGGTCTCTTTGGCCAGTCTGCCATCTCCCGTCTGTTCAGAAGGGTTTGTATCTCAGGCATCTGAATAGTTTGCCATCTGCTGGCAGTTAAAGGATTGTGTTAACATACAGTGCTGTTAAAAAGAAAAAAAAGTGTTTGCCCCTTTTGAAGTCTTCTTCTGTTCATCGTCCTTTTAACGTATCACCTAAACTGTTCAGATTTTTTTTTTTTTTTTTTTTTTTTTTTTTGTACATAACAATGAAAAATAAAGTGTTTTCAAAAGGTTCCAAATACAAGTAGACAATAGCAATCTAAGCCAATGTGGCCCAATGAAGGGGGAAAAAACATAGCTGCCTCTCTCGTTAAATAGTGAATTACCTTCCTTTAAACTACATTTTCCTTTTAAAAAGCTTAGCTTAAATTATAAGTAAAACCAAGCCTGATTAATACTAATATCGCAGATGATAATCTACAGTAAATAGAACCCTTCTGACACCTTTAAGATCTCATGAAGAACACACCTTTCAAAACTTACAGAAAATAGAAAAGCAAAGTCATTGTTATCCCTAAACCTGGAGAGGGTTATTAAGATTTGAGGATGCAATCAAGCTAAATAGAGCCATAATACACATAAGGAAAACGGTGGGGAACTTATCCAGGAGAGACTGGTCAACCAAAATTACCCAAAGAACGCATAATCAGTTAAAAAAGGTGTGACAGTTTAACACAGAACAGTGTTTAAAGCACTTGTGGCATCACTTCCCTTGGTTATATTCAGTGTTGAGGCTGACCTTAACCATTTTTGCACAGTATTATCATGCAAAACTAATATTCATGAAATAGTTCCAAGGTCAAAACCACTGCTGACTAAAAATACAAAGGGAGTGTTTGATTTGCAGTCTTTATAATTCTAATTACTTTTGGTTAAATATTCCTATGATGGATTAGACAAAAGTAAAGCATGTTAGAAGTTTAATGAAATGTTAAAACAAAGAGTATTCTTGAAACAGGACACCATGCATGGAGTTTGAAGTACTTGGGGCTTCCTGGCTTGAGGTACTAGATGTACTAATACAGTTGATGTATTATAGATTTCCTCTATCTGCCAGAAAAGCATTGATAAGACTGTTTAGCATTAATGCACGACCTTAAGCCTATTCACACTTTTCTTTTGCAAAAGGACTGATTTGCTGATTTAAAGCAGCAAATCTGGCCCAACTCTGAATAACTCAAAATCAAACTATGGTTTTGGAAATGCTGCATTAAACGCCCAAATTAAAGAAAATTCTATTAAAATGTTATATATTGATCTATTTAGGTTGTATCCAGTAGTTGTATTCCACAATTCATGTTGTACAAGATCAAAGCAAATCTATTTAAAAAAATAAAATAAACTTTTAAACTCTCAAAAAGAAGCATGGATATGCTTAGAAATAAAAAATTTCTTCAATTAATCTATAATTATTTTTAGGAGATAATGTTTGAAACAAGCCACATCTAAAAGCCTTTTTATAACAACAAAACTGTACATTAAACAAAATTGCATTTTATATTTTGAACTCTTAGTTTAAGTTTGTTTTTAAAATTTTTTGTTCATTTACAGGTCTTTCAGGATCCTTTTGAATATTTTGAAGACCTTAGTATCTAACTTGAACAAAATGCACTTCTTGGATCTCTGTAATCAACTTCATTGAGCACTTTGACTGGTCCTGTATGAAATAATAAAACCAATATCCAAAAAAAAGGTAATTCAATTCTGATTTAAATATGTTTCTCTGCAGTTTAAATGGCAGATAATACATTAACTAAGTTGGTAGATATTAACAATAAAGTTTGGTACAATGCTCATAATAGAGGATTGACTCCTTTTCATCATCAACAATCAGTAGGCTGCAAGTCTCAGAAGTTCAGAAACTTGACAGATACCCTTTACTATAGCTGGGGTGAATTAAACATATGTCTGGACTTTGATTCATTTAAATGTTTTTTTTTTTTTTCCCCCACTGCTTTGAGTTCCTCAAAATACTAGTTTATTTTAACCCCCCCCCCTTTATTTTATTTTTTTACCTTACCTTCCCCTCTTTAATCTTGCTGCCAATGATCTGCCTCCTCTGCTGAATGATGTCAATTAAGACGTCGCACTCCTCCAAGAGCTTGCCCTCCTGGCGTGACGCATTAACCTGAAAATCAATTCACAGATGGGATCAGACTGAGAAAGATGGATAGGAGGAATACATAAAAATGTTTACACTGCGTGTGTGTTTTAAAAATTAAGTCTTTAGTTTTCTAATACATGCTGCAGAGATAGGTTCTCATTTATACCAAAGATATATTAGGACATCTGAAATCTTGTGCAGAGAACTGCTGAGTTTCTTATAATGAATGTTAGTCCAATTTGAAAAGACCCAGGTTCAACCCAGGTCATCTTTTTTATTTAGATGAGAACTGCAAGTAAAGGTAAGCATTGTAAATCATGCAACTGTGTTATTTGTAGAAATAAATTGACTAATTTAAAGCATTTGAACTATTAATGTTTTCAAGTTGTTATTCAAATTGTATTAATCAAACCAACTGCCATAATGATGTAATGTAATTGAATGATATCTAGCTATCTAATAGCACATATTCCATCTATAATGCAATGTAAAGATTAAAAATATAACTAGATGTTTCATTCAAAATTACCTTTAAATGAAAGGCTTAGATTCTTTTCAGGATCTGAAAACTTAAATTAATCAAGGAGATATACAAGACTCGGAAAAAAAAAAAAAAAAAAGGGCATCCTCATTTTAAAATGACTCATTCAGGAAAAAAAAGGAGGAGCAGTAACTTTAAGCTGCTCAAACTGCTTAAAAAAGAAACAGTTTGCCAAACGAAGGAAAACAGGGTCATAATCTCTCAAATGTCACATTTTAAAAGTTTACTCAAATCCCCTGTGAGCCATATTTACATCCATTGAATATGGTAGGAAGGCATTAAGCAATTAGTGGATTTTCGTCCTAAAACCCAAATATAAATGCATGCATGTATGTGTGAGGGTAGTGGTGGCCTAGTGGCATAGAGATGAAATCCTGAGGTTCTGAGTTTGAACCCCACTTCCATGGACTGCCACTCAGGGTCCTTGACCAAAGACCCTTAACCCCAGACTACTCATCAGGTGCCGCACAATGGCAGCCCACTGCTCCCCAAGGGGATGGATGAAATGCAGAGAGTTCATTTCGTTGCTTTAGACTTGTAACAGTGTAATGACATAAAAGCTGGAACAAAAGACACAAGAAGGACTAAGCAGCAAGAAATAATTTAAAAGTTGTTGTATAAAACCAAAATATAAATACAGATGTGTCTAAGAATAATTTGAATATTTTTATAATCACTAGCTTTCATCCAAACCCCTAGAGAATAATTCTTAAAATTACACTGTGTAGAAAATTCTCTATTAGGTTCTGAAATCAATGATGAGAAATTGTCAACTTTTTCTAAGTTGTTTTAATTCTTTCGCAGTAGGTATACCTGTAAGTGAAAAGTCACTGAATGCCCAAGGGTTCGGTGGATGATGTATGTTGTTATGGGCCTGTTTATCTTCCAAAGGCACCTTGTTAAAGTACATTGCATGAAAAAACATTCACCAGACACAAAAATAAACCTTCTGTGACTGTTTAAGGTGGAACACCTAAATCTTAGAGAAACTCTATTAAGAACGAGGACATTAACCGATGTAGAGTGGAAAAAGATCTATCTCTTTGTATGCTTAAACAATGTGTTTTTTCAACTACTGGACTTATCTTCTATATATATATTTTTTTTTTACAGCTTCTTGTAACTGCATGTTTCAACTTATATTATTAATTATTATTATTATTATTTTTTTTTTGCTTGAAGAATTAATGTAAAATGTAAAATCATGCTATTCTAAGGCCCTCTTCAACAATTCATAACACAATTCAAGCTAGGGGTGGTCAGGCCTGGCCAAAATGTTAAACATACTTGCACTCAGAAGAAAACTGCAAATAAATCAACAGATTACTTGAAACCCCAATTTGGAAATTACATAAATATTCTGGCCAAGGTGGTGTTTTTAAAATGCCAAAATACATGGTCAAATTTAAAAAGGGGTCATGTTTGTTCAATTATATTACTAGTTGTATTGATCCTGTTTTTCAGACTGTGGATCAACAGGTTCTTAACCCCCCCCCCATGTAAAAAAGTTCAGATATTAAGATGCTCATCATGTTTTTATCTGGCATGATATTATGGACTGATATGATATATGCATATTATATCACTCTGATAAAGAGCTAGTAGAGCTCTATTTAAAAAAAAAAAAGTCGGTGTCATCAGGTTAGGACCAATCGGATAACTACGGATGTGACACAAAACTTCAATCAAATTTTTTTCTTTCTTTTCTTACTAAACTGAGCCAAACATCTAAGTTAAAAGGAGAGCTGGGCAATTAATTTCATTTGCAATATAAGCACAATTTAACAAATTACAATCCTAAAATTGAAGAGAATCTAAATTTCAATCACACTATACTTTAAATTTCCCACTTTAGCCCTCTAGTTGAATGTGAAATTCTTAAAGTGGGTTTGTCGCCACACAGAAAGGTAGAGAGAGTTGCAGCTAGCATGCAGATCCATGCATGCAAGCAGAAGGAAGCACTTTTTCACTCAAATGTTACAGTAAAATTCTGCAACAATGGGCTCTGGGTAAGCAAGATTTAAAAAAAAACTGAAAAATCTTCACGCTTGGGGTTAGTGGAATAGAAAATCGAAGCAAAATCGTAATGTTGGTTAAAAATAATGGCATTTATGATTTTTGGCAAAATCGTTCAGGCCTAGTAAAGAGAATCAAAATCCTTTTCTCACTCAATCTATATATTTCCAGGATTGTGTTGCCAATCGCAACAATTTGCTACCTGGAAAAAAATCTCTCCTAAAAGGCAATGCCTAAACAGCCTCTTTTGCAGCGCTGCTCATTGGTTCTTTTCAAACCAATGTGAAGCTTTGCACTCTGTGAAACACTTGCACCTATGTCAACTCTGGAAAATCTGTCTTTGTGCACACTTAGTATAGTTATTATTTTATGTTAAAAAACCAGTTAAGTGCATCAAAAGCATTATTTTTATATTACAATATAATATTAATTCATAAAAGTCTATATATTTTGATGAATTAATAAATTGAGGTCAAATTATTGATGGTTCGCTCTTTGATAATCGATCAAGCTTGAAAATTTCATATTCCATTAATTCAAAGTACTTTAAAACTCAAAGGAGGCTATTTTGTAGCTTGTAATATCTCAACACTCAAATGTGACCAAAGTCTTCATGTCTGGAATAGATGTGAAGCAGCTAATTCCTTTGGAAAAAGCCCTGCGGAGGACATAGTCAGTGTGACAAATTGTCAGCTGTAAGAACTATTAAGTGATTCACTAACATGTGCAATGTCTTCAGAAAACAAATCCTGGAACGTGTCTAGTTTTAAAATTAGTCTTTTTCTATAGTACCTTATAAAGCTTTTAAGCCCCTTTCATGTTTTTTAACTATCATTTCATCACCACAAACTTGACTTTGTTTTCCTTTGATTTCAAACAAAAGCAACAATAACTGGAGAACTAATTTAAAAAGGAAGGGAAAAAATGCATGCTTTTTAATCTCTTTCACAGGAAGATAAACCTCCATCCTAGTTTGCATTCATTTTTAGCCCCCTGTATTTTTTCACTCCAGTGCTTCCAATTCATATTAATAGTTAGCATGGGTCTCTTGGTTGCTTCTCTTGATACTCTCTTTGTTAAGGATGTCTGTTTAATTGGATAGAAATATAGGTTTGTTGTGGTAAATGACTCAAAGCGACTGGAAGCAGGTAAAATCTTAAGTGTTGCTTGGAAAAATTTAAAATAAAAGTAAAAATAAACTATGGTAACCAAAAAAAGACATTTAGCAGAACTGATTGTAACAAACCGTAGAGGGAAGTGTGATTGAGAATCACCAGAAATCTAGTAAGCAGAAGAAGAAAATGGTGATCTATACTGATGATCTAGGTAAATTTCAGAAACATATTCAAAGAGATTAAGAGTTCAATTCAGTTATTTTTAGTTTATCTATATAGTGCCAATTCACAGCACATGTCATCTCAAGGCACTTTACAGAGACAATTCGACCAAATCGTAGTCGAATTCAAAAATCAAAATCAAATTGATTTAAAGTAAAACCAGTTGATTGCATCAACTTATTGATTCAATGGCAACCCCTCACACCAAGCATGCTTGTAGCGACAGTGAAGAGGAAAAACTCCCTTTTAACAGGAAGAAACCTCGAGCAGAACCAGGCTCAGTGTGAGCAGCTATCTGACGAGGCCGACTGGGGTTCAAGGAGACAGAAGCAGAGATACAGAAAGAATCAGAGAATTAAATCTTTCGACTCTTGATGAACAGCTGGTTTAAACTGGGAAAATAAATGTGTATTTTGTTTTTATTATTAATTATTTCTAATTGCAACAACCTGCAATGTATTTTATGTAGTGGTAACAAAAAACAGAGGTGGGTAGTAACCAGAGCATGTGAGCGGGATTATGTAATTATAAAAGTAATATCAGATAGTTTTAGTTACTCTATACTTGAGTTGTCATTTAGCTTCTTTTGTCTTCCAAAATTTGTGGGATGTTCACTTTTTTTTTTTTTTTTTAAGTAAAAAAAATAAAGTTAAAGTATTAAGTGGTGTTAGTGTTACTTGCGTAAACCTTTTGGGTACTCATTTAAGGAAAGGTTAATATAGTAGAATCTATAAAATCTTCATTCACAACAGGGCTGCAGTTAAGTAATTTATACCGGTAAGTCATGAAGTTCAACCTCTTATAACTACATTGCATCAAGTCATATTCATATTTATTGCAGTGACTGAAACTTTATTTAGACTCAAATACTAATAATTATTTGCATCCACCTTTTGATAAATTGTGTATTTCTTTAACTGTATAAAAATACTAACGTATTATGAAACATGGTAACCGAATGCATTTTTGCGTGTTTCATCTTTTATTCTACCGCATTATAAAAATTGAAAACTTTTTAGTGGCTTTTCTGATTAAATGTGCATTTATTAAACTCTTCTAGGTTAATTGTGTGTATTTTCCCTGTGCAACCCTAATCAGTGTCCTCATTTTAAAGATGCAATGAGTGGCTTAGAATAAGTGGATTGGCATTGTTTTGTTACATAAAAAAAAAAAAAAAAAAAAAAAAAAGATGAAAAGGTTCCCACATCTTAAGCTACTGGAATTAAAATATGTACGTGCAGCTGAGTTGGTAGGAGAAACAGGATGTGAGACTGCAAGATATTAAAGATGCATCTTCGCAGCCAGTTTTATGGATAATCTTATCTGAAATATCTAAAGAGCTTGTTAGTAGCACGCAATTAGAGTCTCCTCTTCAGAACCACATAATTATTTTGGTATTTATGTCAGATTTATGTTCCTCTTTTTGCAGTTATGTCACACCTCATCACTAGACATTATGCCATCTCATTAATGTTTCAGTTATCAGAGACTGTGTTCTAAAAGCAGGTTACAAAATTAAAGCGGATCAATAAATGATGAGTTATAACTTGTTCTTCCTGCAAACTAACCCCATAAATGATTCATCCCTGTAGGTGCAAATAACTTTGTTTTTCTTGCAAGAACATGGAAGAATAGATACCAGTGCATATGCAAACTATATTAAATATTTGCTGCACTTAGACACTAAGGGGCTAAAATTGTCCCTTTGTAATCGTAAAAGACAAAACATGAATCACTTTTCTATTCTGTGCTTAAGGCTTCATATTCCCCTTCTTGCATAAATCTGCACCTTAACATGCATGCAAAAGACGCACAACAATAATTTAATCTTCAGAAAATATTGCAAACGGCTTAATCCTTTACTTTCCTCTACTTTGCAAAGGTCTTGGCAGCCTGCAAAGCTGCTCTCCATATTTTCTAAAACCCTGTGGCATTGCTTTATTTAAAGCGTCTTAGCGGTGCGACGTAATGCGAACGGGCAGGCTTGGCACAGAATTGCTTTCAAATGAGGCTGAATGCATGCAAACATCCTCGCAAATATGTTAACCCAGTGATAAATATGATAAACCCAACCAAATGACAGCAATGATGGAAATGGTAAATCTGCTTAAGTACTGTTTTTATAAATCGTGGGTTTAAAACATGTTAATGTGATCATTTGACTTTTTTTTTTTTTTCTATGAAATTCCCATGAGAAATGTTAATAAAGGAAAACAATCATTGTGCAACAATTTTAAAAATAAGACCCAAACCATGAAAACAGAGAAATTTCATGCTAAAAATACACATATTTTTATTGCATCTATGGCATTGCAGAACTTTGTGACAATTTCTTGACTTGACGATTATGTTGAAAATAAATTTTAAATCAAAAAGCAAGTTAAAGGAAGCATCAATCTATCTGCTATTTCAAGGTCTATATTAAGATTTGGCTTAATGAATACATAAGTTATAAAATGTTGTACAATAAATGTGGGGAATTCTGGATAAACTACCTTTAGATGAGTGTTGACCCCATAGGGCTAAGACTCACCTCAACATGCTGACAAGTCTGGATCAGTTTCCCCATAAGCGACTCTAGTTCGTTGTTCCTCTTGATCAAGTTGCTCAGGTTTGAGTCGAGGGCTTGCTGTTGTGTTAAAAAGTAAAAGATGCCAAAAATGAATAGAAATGTGACAGTAAAGAAAATAGAAATGGAGCAAAGCTTTAGACACAGCAACAATTGCACTGCATGAGAAAACAATAAAAGGAACCTTCCAGAAAAATAAATGACTAGAAAATTTTGAACATCTTATAAACCAAGCAAATCTTGGTAAAGTTTCGGAGGTGGCATACCTCGGAACGTGAGTTGTACCCCTCATCCCTGCAGTTCCTCCTCATCCTGCCCTGTCCGAAGCCTCAGACAGCAGATCCTACTTCTAGCAGTGAATGTGACTGGGACAGTCACTCCACTGAGCACCAAGCCATGCGCAAACCCAGCCAAGCGATAAATCAGGGCTTCAAAAAGCTTTCCCTATGAGAGTGCACAGCAGTGCTTCCGGCAAACGAAGCGACAAACAGGTGACACCGCATCAGGGGCATCCCACTGCTCCTCCTTTCACTTATTCTCCTCTCTGTCCTCCTTTTACCCAGCCTTCTATAGTTGTTTATGGCTGTTTGTCAAACGCCAGAGCACAGGCTGCTTTATTTAATGCCATGTTTCACATAATCGCTAAATCAGCCGTGATTAAGGTCTCCTGATGTGTCGTCACTTTTCTTCTAAAACCTAACATCCCTCATGATTTCAAAGCAGTCAATGCAACCAAAGACAACATTTCTGAGTTATAATTTTACAGTGTTTGCTTCATATTTTATATAACAGAACACCCTGAGCCACATTTGAAATAACGACGTTTTTTGTTCTCCAAAATAGTGCCTTTTTTTTTTTTTTTTTGGCTTGTTTTAGGAAGTGTAATGTAGCGCCACAAGGGGCTTAATGGATGACCTTAATACGCAGATGGCACACAACAGTGACATAAGGGTCTGCTTTACCAGGAAAATCAGCCTGTTGTTATCGTCTGAGTAATGGAGAGGGGGGGAAAAGCTAACCTCTCAGAGGAAAATAGCAACAATAAGCCATACTTTGTACACTGATCTTCAAAATCCTTGAGAATACCTTGAGAATATAAACTCTAAGAAAAATGTGAAGAATTTTAAACTATTATGTGTTACCACCTTCAATTAGTTGTCTGTTCCACCCAGCCTGCCCCATCAGTTTGACCACTTGTCAATCATCCTTTGGTGTAATCCTTAATGTCTCTCTCTTTATCAGCCCATCCCCGTTTGATGCAATCAGTCTGTGCTAGATTGAGGAAAAGAACTGTCTTTGTTGCACTGTACAGTTAATCTGTGCTTAGTGTAGTAAAGTTCCAAAATGCAATTGGGCAGTGGACAAGGATTTGTTCCAATCGGAAGATGGATGGATTCAAAACTCCTTTACAGATGTAAACTAGTTTGGAAGTACCAAGATGTCATGCTTTATTGGCTGACTGAAATAACAAAAAAAAAAAACATCATATTTTAGAAAAAAGTTTTTTTTTTTTTACATTTTAGGCAAAATGACTATCAACACTTATAGGAGAAGAAGCAAACTGTCGACTGGCAAGCTAACATATTGCAAGTACAGTACTTTATTTAATCCCCTTAGTCTTCAGAGACTCCACATTTTTTTCATGGCTGAGATACATCAAGATGTTGGAAACTTTTCTAAAAACTTTGTATAAAGTTTTTGCAGATTTGTTGCTCTTGCACTGAAATCTAATGACAATGACTCCTATGAGGTTTTAGGACTACAGTCAGCTAGACATTATTTGAGCTTCACATGGTTATATGTCTTTTTGGAAGTGGTCAATAGAGGCTTTGTACACTGGCCAAAATCTGATAGAGATGATGAGCAACAATGATCTAGTAGCCTGTGGAGGTTAAATAGTGATCAGCTAGTACAAGAGGGCCAATTTATACCAAGAACGTATATAATATGTGCCCCACAGCACTATACCACCCCCAGCTAGAAGCACTGATAAGGAGGCAGGAAATGATTTCATCTTGTCTGACCCAATCATCTGTATGTTGCTGCAGGAATAATAACTACTCTGACCAGGGAATGCTTTTTCCAATATTTTATTGCTCAGTTTTGGTAACCCAGTGAGAACCTGGGGGTCTTGGGCTGCAACAGCTCATCTGCTTCAAGGGTTAATGCATTTTATGTTGAAAGGAGTAATGCCACATATTGGAGTTTGAATGATTTGTGCGGAACAGCTGTAACAGGTTTGTAAGTGTTAACTGATAATATTAGGGCCACAAAACAGGAGGGTTAAAACCAGGCCAGCTAGAAGATAGTAATTCTCAGTGGAAGAGTGGGATGTTATGTTACTTTGTTTCTTGAAGATGTTTTACTTTAAAACACTAAAAGTTTTTTTTAGGTTCTTTATTTTTTATTTTTTTGGAAATTTGATCAAACAAAGATTCCTTAAACCTTATCACCCTGTTCTAAGCACAACTACTTTTCTGCTTGAAATAAAAACCCTACTGCATTGGCTCTGTAAACATCTGATATTATAGAAGGCTCTGTTTCTCACATTCAATTGTCATTCCAACAGATGTTATGGATAAACTAATGTATCATTTTGGAATGTTTATTTGTTCTATCCATCCCTAAATACAATCCTAATATTATGTGATTAATTTAGGTAGTTATAGAACACGTATAGTATGAGTCACACTGAGAATTTAAAGAAGCAATCGAGCACTTTCATACATCAAAAAAACGTTGAAAATCCAATAATTTACTCTTCGCTTTATTCAACATTTTCTACACCATCACAAATACGAGTTAAACAAACCACTGCAAGTTAAAAGCACTTTCTGAAATAATAATGAGGTTGATGGGCACAAAAGAGGCATTTAACACTTCTTGAAATGCTTGTTTTTTCACCTTGGACGCTACAAGAAGCTTCTAGTGTGATAACACAATCGACCATTACTAAGAAGAACAGTTTTCACCCTGTCAAGAGTGACTCACTTTATGGCAGCATTAGTTTGAAATTCAGTGACAGTCTTTCAGGTAAAGCTATTAATATCTGACAGATTCCCAAGATTTATTTAAAGGTACATAGTCACCTTATTTGAATTTATATGCCAGTAACTCATTCCGGTTGTGGACATTGTTATAACAAATGATGGCATCCTGCTGGCTTATATATTTTTATCTTTAAAGCTTTGTTTTTTCTTTTTTCTCTGTATATTTACATTAAGATTTTAAGACGGGGTTGTGTCACTGTACATGCGTACTGTTGGTCAACAAGCAAAAGCAATGGAGGCAATGCAAGAATTGAAATAACAGCAAAGTTGCAAATAGAGGGGAAAAGGACTATCATATAACAATATCAGGACTTGGAGTATATAGCCTTATTTTGGTATAATCCTATAATGTGACAATGTTGCTTTTAAAGAAGGGGTGTCAAACTCAAGTTATTAACAGCGGGTGTCATGCATCTTTCAGTTTTGACTCTGTCTCAACATACTTGACTCCAGCATGAGCTCATTAGCAGACTTTCACATCTGGTAGTGAGCTAATTTAGCCATTTGATGCAGATGTGTAGGAACGGACAACTTTGAAAGTTGCAGGATACTGGCCCTCAAAGATTTAAGTATAACACCCCTGCTTTAAAGAACAAGTTTTTCTTGTACGGGCAACCTGCAATAAAAAATAAACAAACAGTATTTTGTTTAACTTCCCTTTAAAATGCCAAACTGTTGCTGCAAGTTTTACAGAGAATGTGGTTTCTTAAGAAACATTTGAAACCTACCATTTGTTACAAAGGCTGAGGCATCCCTATCTTTTATCCTCGAGGTTTTTGCTCCCAAGACCCCAAGCTAAGGATTTTTAAAAGCCATTTCCAGCAGCCTCTTCCGTCAATTTCCTGTGACGGGGGGTAATTTTATCTCTGAAAAAAGGATGGGTGTTACCACAATAACCTCGATGGCTCTTATCAGACACACACCACAAGCACAACTTGGGGAAAAAAAGGAAATCATTCTGGTTGCCTGATATTCTTTTTTTTTTTTTTTTTCTCTCACTTTGTGAAAAGTGGAAGTATCCCCTATTTGACAGATTGTTGCAAAACATGATAGGAATGAAATGTCCCAAAAAAATATAACATTCAACTTGTCAAACACAGAAGGAAGGGTTGGGAGAGTGAAACTATAAAATTACGGGTTTGAGCAAGGCAACTGATGAATCATCAGTGTATATTTTCGAAGAGTAAAAATCTGATAAAACGTGATTATTAAAATCAATAAAATAGACTAAAAAAACTTTTACGGTCCTGACCTCTTTGGTCTTCTTTTTGAGTTTTCAGTTATTTATGTCATTTTGTTTGGTTGGTAATTTAATTCCTTTTTGTGATATATTTAAAGTTTGTGGCAAAATTTGAGCTACTCTCTGTTGCCCCCTTGTGTCTGTTTCCTTTCCACTTTGTCCTTTCTAGTTACTCCTATCCATACATGCTCCATATCAGCTGATTAGCCCATTCTTTGTTCCGTCACCCATATATAGACGTTCTCTGCATTACTCATTTCTGGTTTCTCGTTTTTACTTGGCTTTTCATGTGTTTTCTCCTGGTTTTTGGTTTCCTGTATTTTGTTCCTGTATTGTGTTTCTGTTGCCTTCTTTTATTTCGTTAAACCTGCAAGAACTCATCTCTGCCTCCCACATCTCTGTTTCTGGTCCTCAACCAACCTTAACCCAACCTGAAAAGGCTGAAAGAAGGAAGATACACTTTACCCCCTTGCTTATAAGAAAAGCAACAATTTGGTTGTAGGAAATTATTTTTCTACAGTAGACTGAAAGGCCTGGCTAATTAAAATAGGAAGAGTTGGCAACTTACTGATTAACAGATTTTCTGACTAATTACTGTTTTAGATTTTGAAAGTCTTGCTTTCTATTTTTTTGAACTGCACAAAAAAGTTTGATCTGTGAAACCTTTAATTTTGCTTTTTAAGGCATGTACTGTACAAAATTTAAGAAGACATTTTTGTTCATATATAAATTCTATTAAGACATTAACACATTTTATGGAATCAATATGTACTCCCTCTACTTGTAAATGCTGTGAATACCTAATCCTAACTACGCTTGCTTTGGAGGAACCAATGCCCCTTCTTAGTGCCCTACGCTAACATTTCCCTTTAAGAAAGTCTGAAACTGTTCTAACTCCTTTGAGCTATCTGTCTAATCCATCGATATTATCTAGCTAATAGATCTAGTAGGAGTTTAGCCCTTCATTCTTTGAAGCATCCTGGGGGAATCTGGGCCCAGATTGCATGTGCAGATCTGAATGTATATTTTATTAAGAAAAGAAAACCACAACATGATTAAGGTAACGAAGCATTCAGACATGCTGCCTTTTACCATCTGCGTGCATTCGATGGTGACCCATTTTACCTTAAATGGACATGTATATGTACACAATAAGGTTTCATGAAAGAAAATGTTTCATCAAGTGAAAAAATTAATATTTAGGGAACCACTGAAGAAAGTGAGTAGTTTGTCTGCTACGCAAGTTAAGCAAAACTCGTAAATAATACATAAAATCAAGGCTTATCATTGTTTTGAGGATAGTTATTGATCCTTAACTAGTGTAAGAGCAGAGATAGTTTCACTTGTTCAGTGGCAGAAAGGTTGAAATACAAGATATCAGATTAAATGTTTTCATTGCTTTTGTCGATCTGCATATTTCCAGTCAACATACTTCATTAAGTGCCCCTTTGACGTTTGTTGTTAGCTTTACCAGTGATTTAGTGACTTAGTAGAATAATCAGTTAGGCATCTCAACATGGCATAAATGATTTTGCTAGCTCAGTTACTTTAACGTTTGGAGAGAAAGGGAATTTATATTCTTGCATTTGAAAATGTGTATATATTTATTACACATTTTAAAATGTATTTTTTTTCACTATTTTTATTTAAACCTCACTTTCATTATTTAAGGGTTCCATTTTGTTTTTGCTTTATTTCTGGTGTAAGGTATGAGTTTTTGATAAAAATTACAATTTTAAAAATCCTCATCGATAGAAGCTATAATTAGCCTTTTTATCTGATATATATAAAATATATTTTGATAACACCCCCCCTCCCCTAAAAAAAAGAGGCAATGAGATAAGGAAAGGTATAGATCTCCGTAACATGCATTTATAAGTACTTACACCTTAGGAATAATTTTGCCCATTTTGTCTGTTGCTAAATTAAAGGAAGGATTGAAAATAACTTTGAGCTGTTAAAACATGGATGCTGGTGTAATTAAAATATATTACAATAGACCCCATCAGCATACACAGAGAATACCCCTATGGTCATCACCAACAGTCTGATGCACATGTTATCCCTCAATTAACCCAGCTTGGACCAGTGGTAAAGTGGTGCTTGTTAACCTGCAAACTTGCTAAAGTCACCGTGCCTTGTCTAACGACACTGCATATTCACTACATGTGCATGCCTCTGAATACCCCTCTGGCTCCCTGGCATGGTGCAGTCATTATGCTAATTACTTAATTATTCATGAGAGATTATAAATCAGTGTGAAATGATGAAATCTCACCTGATAATCAACTTAGATACCTGGATGAGGATATTAAGAAATTTCATGCTTCAGAGGAGAATGAAATTAAAGTTTAAAATTCATTATAGGTATAAGTAGATAGAGAACATTTGAGGGTTTTTATACTTATCTATAATTAGATTTAGAAAAATGTATTTGAACTCAGCAGAAAGTTTTAATCAGACCATATCAGCGAGGTACTGTACATACCTTTAGTTTTTCGTAGCGGTCACTTAGAGCTGCCACTTGGTGATCCCTGTGCCTTCCCACCAGTTTGCACAGTGAGCATATCAGCTGATCATCTATGACACAGTACATGTTCACCTTTTCCTCCTCATGCTCCAGGCACTGGAGTCCTCTGAGGTGGGAATCGGGCATAGGCTCAATAAGCCGGTGACCGGTGAATGGCTTCTTGTTTGGGTGAGTTGCTCTGAGGCATTCTTCGCAGTACGAAACTTCACATGTCACGCATGTCTTAACGGCATCCTGAGGTGGGTCCTGCTCACAGAATTGGCATTGGACTGGTTCCGGGGGAGTTTCCGGGCTGGACATGGCGGCACTGACAGGAACCAAAGCCAGCCGATTGCTCCCTTCCTCGCTGGGAGAGTTAGGCCCACTGTGGGGGCCGGCCAATGGCAGCGGTAGAGGAAGCCCAGCTGAGGAAGAAGCCCTCTGAACTCTGTCGATGATGTTCTGCAAAGTCACGTTTCTTTTGAGTCCCTCTAATCCACGCTCTGGACTCAGGGAAATTACATACCTACAAGTGGGGCACTGAAAAGCGCCAATATTCTGGACGGACTCGTTAGTGGCGCAATGGGAGACGAGGATACGGTGGGCACAACCAAAGCACAGGCTGTGAGCACAAGGGAGCAGCAGTGGGTCTTCGAAGAGCTCCAGGCAGATTGGGCAGGTCAGCTCTGACTCCAGAGTGTCCATCCTGCTCAGAAGAAGCCAGGCGGGATTGCGTGCAGCTTCAGCAATATCAAGAAGAGCCGCTCAGATGTCTGCAGGCCAGAGAAAGGAGCAGGAGAACAGAGAGAGTAAAAGGAAAAAGAAAGCAGAGGGATTTAAGATTAAATGGTGTGAAACGGCTTATTTTCTACAGATTTCTTTGGAGGGCTTATATCTCAATGGGGCTGCTTAACAACAGCAGTGTTGGGAGCTTTTTTTTTTTTTTTTTTTAACTTAATCGTAGATCCTGTGAAAGCCCAAAACAACCAGTGTTGCAACATAACTATTTAAAGGGGTAAATTCTAGATTACATATTATAAAAAGCCAGAGTTTTTTTTGCCAATGAGTAAAAGGCCAGCTCTCTCAACATGCTTTTTCTTGGTTTACCCTTTACAGATTAGATATAGAGGTATGTGTGTGCAAGAGCAGCAACTTTCATTGGCTAAACCTATATTACCAAGACCAATCTGGCAGCCACCAAGAATTTATTTCCAACTATTACAATAAGTGTTTAAGGAGAAATTTGTTGAAAGGTGGTTGGAACTGTACTGAAGCAAAGCTCAACGCCTGCTATGGACATCTCTTAATATATAAGCAAATGCATAAACAGGTTGTTGCTGTTCCTCCTTAGCATTTAATTCCTACAGAATTCCTGATAAAGTGTGACTATGAAATTGTATTAGAACTCTAATTTCAAAGTTCTCTTAAAACTGAGATTTTTAGGTCCTTATAAACATGGGAAGGAAGGTTTTCGTATAAGGGGAGGCAGTGGCAGCTGCTGCTACAGCTGTAGCCAGTTAGTAATTAGAACACGAGTCAACTTATTCCCCCCACAGAGTAGGTTTTTTTTTTTTATATTTCAATCAGTCCTGTCATTCTCACACTGTTTCATAAGCTTTGCAGTTTCAAATAATGTTTGTGCTGATAGTGCACACCCAGTAACCTTGGTTACATATGAGATGTAAGGCAGTGCTTTGCTAGCTGGAATTATAAATTCAGTCAAGATGACCCTATTAAATAATCTTTCCCTTTTTACAGACAGTTTGAAATGGTAATCTCTTCATTTTTAATCAAATTATGTCCCTTGGTCTAAAGAAAAGCTCTAAATCCACAGTTTAATAATCTAGTGAGGGCAATATCAGTTGTGAATGATTAAAGCAGAGCTCTCAAGCTTCAACCATCAAGGGTCATTGTCCTTCAACCTGTCTCCCTAATCTAACACATCTAGATTACACATCTGAATTACCTACTTAGCATGCAGTGGTCCCGCTAATGGGCTAGCCAAGTGGGACAAAAGGTTTGGGTCCTGAGGCCTTGAATTAAAGACGCGTGGATTAAAACTAAAAATAATAGGCTCCAGTTTTAAAATTTGATTACATTAACTATATACATCTGCTGTTTATATAAATGTGCATTTTAAAATTCCATTAAAATGTTTTTTTTCTTTTCTTTTTTTTTGTAATGGCAATGCATAAAACCACATCTAAAGTTTCATAAAATATAATCTTTTTGGCCCAATTCTTATGTGCTGCTAACTCAAAACTATAAACTGTGAAGTTACAGTGACAAGTCATAGTAACACTTCTTGCATGGCTGCCTGTGGCTTGGAGCTCATGAGCTAGTTTGGACAAATGTGGTACAAACCATATAAGTAACTCTCTTTTTAAGTGGTGCAGTTGTTATTTCTGTAATGCAAACATAAAACATACAGCTTTGTCTCAAAATGAAGAAGTTAAATATAAGACTTCACTTTGTGTGGTAGAATACCTTTGGGGAGATGTAATTCATTGTTATAAATCTTTTATGTTAAGTGTAGTCTTGCACAGTCAATTAAAGAGGCAACAGATGCATGGAGTATTATAATTTAGGGGTTGTGGACTTGTTAGCTCAACAGCAAAAATTAAATTTTACATACACGCTTACTATGGTGAGGTTGTTCTCACTGATGCCCTCTGGCAAGAGGCTTTGCACCATTTGCTGCAGGCCCATCAGATTCTGCAACAGCTTTTTCCCCACTGCCATCAGACTGTTGAACGGTTGAACTCTAAACTGGACTCTGCAACACATTATTTTCCCCTACTAACATGTGAACTTTTATAATCTTTCTAAATAGGATACTACAATAATATTCTACTACATTTTGCACAATAGTTATTTTGCACTGCATTGAACCTTTTGATATTAATGCCCTTTTGCACCATTATTTTTACACCGGTTTCTTTTCTACACTGTTTACATTCTTATCACTGCTGCACTTTATAAATGGCAATGTTATTTTCACTGTTGTAGGCTGTTCAATTCAATGTTGTAATCTGTATGCATCAGAATTTTGCTTTGTATAACCTCTGTGCATACAAAATGACAAAAAAGTTTTTCTAAATATTTAACATTTAACATTTCCAGCGTTTTCAACAAGGGTTTTAGTTGTGAGCCATGCAGTTTTGTATCTGGCACTTTTTCTGTTGTAGTTTTTTTCCCCCTTAGAATTCTGCCACCCAAAAACAACATTGTTTGTAAGTTGTTCCCCATAGGAGAATTATACTAATTCCAAATGTATAACATTTTCTCTTTATGTGTATAAAAATCGAATATTTAAAAAAAAAAAAAAACGTATAGAGATCTCGTTTAAAATCCTTTTCCCATTTATTTCCAAGTGTGGTTTTATGCAGAAATATAATAATTGATAGAATCTGCACAGGCTGCAATGAAAACCTTTAGTAGTGCATGCATGCCTTGAGCTCAATTTATGCTGCTACAAACTTTCCCATAAACTACAACAGTTAACAAAAAAGCTATGCTGCTGTAGTAAAATTATGTTTTTATTGCAGGAATTGGGTCCAGTCTTATCTCTTACCAAGCGGGATTTTCTTTCTGATGCTGTCAAGCAGTATCTCATCTATTTTTTTTTTTTTCATTGACAGTTTGTTGTGTGTGGACCTACTTAAAAACTTTGTTTTATAGCGGACCTTAATCCATGGACAACAGTCACTTCCATATATGCTGAAAGAGAATGATCGAAGAGATAATAAATGGAACTGAAACTGAATCTTTCAGCAGATGTCACTGTTGGATGAGATTAAAGCGCTACTGCGTTAGACAATAGGATGCTGAGAGCTCAAAGTATCTTTCCCCGTTCTCATGCATAGTTTCCTCTGATCAAAAAGAACGGGGGGGAAAGTGCTGCAGATAAACTGTCCCCCACTTGAGATTTCTGCAGGGCTAGCAGTTTCCAGGCCCTGTGATGTTTGAAGAAGGATAAGAGTTTTGTGTTGATGAAACGGAAAAAGGATGTATGGAAAAAGTTTTTTTTTTTTTTCTCCCTTACAGATTGCTCCTTTTTTTGTTTTCTTTTCAACTCTATTTTTTCTTGATCATCACCAACAATTCATAGAAGTATGAGTTATTTTCAGTTGTTAATTGGGGTATATAAGCAATCTAAATCAACCAGACCCTTTGTAAAGAGAAAAAAATAACCCAAATTTGCTTTTGATTAACCATACTCTTTATTTTATTTTTCTCCCTGACATCAATGAGACTGAACAACCTCAATGCAACACACCAAATGTAGATGCAAAAAAATGTCCCTGTGACCTCTGTCAGTTTAGAAAGAGAAGGCCTATCAGCAGGCAATAGCCATTAACCAGAACTAAAAGTAGCACAATTCTGCAGAAATGCACAAAAAGCATAGCAAACAGGACCCCAGTAATGAAGCAAATAGTTGTTGAAAATGTCCAAGACATTTGTATGCAGTCAAATTGTTAATGTAACAATTCATCGAGTTATATAATCGCCAAATTGAATCATGGAGGAAAATAAAGCGGCATTAAGGTAGAAAATCTTCCAAACAGAGCCAGAGAATATTCTAAACATTGAGAATCCTGAAGAAATTGACTGAAAAGATAAGATTGTGCTTTCAGATAAAAACCCATAAAACAAATTTGTTAACAGTAAAGGCACCCACAAATGCATAAACTGAATCAGGCAGCAAAGAGAGGGTGAGATGCCTCCAACCATACCGTAGGGGACACTGTTGTGCCATGAAGTAAGGTGACAGAGTATAAAGCAAAAAATGATTTTTTTTTTTTTTTTTTTACTTAAAATTCAAGTTGTTTAGTTTTCCATCATAATTTTCTGCCTCAGGACTGCCACAGCTGTCACAATCTGTGAATAAGCAGCCTGCCATGCTGGCACCTCAGAAATGCCAGTACCTATAGTCTTCAGTGGGGGGCAATATAGAACTGGTTTAGCAGTGGGGAAGTTTGAGTTTATTTTACCCCCTCTTCACTGCAAATTGCAAATATGAAAACGGTGCATATATATATATATATATATATATATATATATATATATATATATATATATATATATATATATATATATATAATATACATCTTGATATTCATAATGTATGAAATGTCCTGTTTTCTTTTTTCCCACTGCCACACTTGTTTTTCCGAGAATGTGTTCTTACTGTAAACCTCACAACAGTTTATACTGATACTTAATAAAAACTATCTCACCATGTTTTCAAAAGGACACCACAGCATTTTTTGTATATATAGATGCCTTCATAATTTGATTTAGAACCATTTAGATTCAAACTTTCAAATGTCATTGAAGGTTTTCTGTATCTTCAGTGCTGTAAAAATTTAAAATAATCTACTCTACATATATATATATCACAGATGTTTAACTGTATATAACTTATTTTAATGATGTATAGAAATAGAAGAATAAATAAGTATTGTAATTTTGCAGCTCTTAACATTTATTTATTAACATTTTCTGCATGTGGAGGAGCTCAGGAATGTATTCCTATTTAAAGATTTATACAAACAACTTTTTTTATTTAGAAAAGTCAATCTCCAAGTACAAATGGTGCACACCCACAACAAAAAAATGTAGCTTACTAGTGCAAACAAAAAAAAAGTAATATCACATTACTGTAGCTAAAACCTACATAAGACGGTTCGTTTTTTTTTGTTTTTTTTTGGTATGGTCAAAAAAATAAATTGTTGTATTAAGATGAATGTATTTTAGAAAGTATATGTGA